AAGGGCAAAGCACCATCGGCCGTAGTTTGAAAACACTGGCAAATCTTCCAAGTTCTTAGATGTTTCTTCCCCCGACAGCGACGGCTGTAGGTCGTAGCCAATCCCGGAGGCCGCCATGAAGCGGGAGGGTTACAGGCCGGGTCTTGGGACGTTCTGTGGCTGTCGGGCATACTCCTTGCCCTTGTTGCTTTGTTGGCTTTGTTGGCCTCGTTCCTCTTTTGATAGTATGTCAAGGGTTCTGGGGTCTCCTCCAAATTATGTTTAGAGTTTAGGATTTTAGGCTTGTCTAAATGTGAAGCAGAATCGGAACATAATCTTCTGTGGACTCATATTGGGGCCAAGGGTTGAGAAGATCTTTAAAGATCTTTTCCTTCCCCCAGCCCTTTGCCTTTGCCCCTCTGCCGCACGTGCTTCCGGCTGCCAGGACCCCTCAGACCCATCTGTGGAGCTGGAGGCCGGCAAGATTGGGTTAAAACAAACAAGACATGAGTAGCTGACACCTTAGAGTATGGGCAATGGTACTGTCCCCTTTCTGTTTTTGGTGCATTATCTAAGGTCGCAAGGGATCAACCTTTTGTTTGGGCTGGCAACTGTCAATATCATCGGTAAGGGCATGGGCTGAACAACCCACGAAGACGTAAGGCCATCGCAGCTTGGGTGTAAACGCTTCGCGTTGCCCGCCTCGGTCAGTATTGTTTTGGCTGGCTTTGAGGTACTGTGTTTCGGTTTGCCTTGAGTGAGTCGGCACCGACATGCATGACAGAGGGTGGGGGCGGTGGGGGCGGTGGGGGCATGTTCGCGGGTTTCGACATGGCTGGAAGCGAAGCCTGAGGGCCTGGGCTGAGGAGGCACCGCTTGAACAGCTTCTGGACTTTTTGGAGGGGATTTGATTGGCTTCTAGAAGGGAATTTGACCGGTTTTGGGGGGAATTTGTCCGGTTTCTCGGGGGGATGTTTCTAGGGTCTTTGACTGGGGTTGGACCAGTTTTTTGCAGGTCTTAGCCTTTTTTTTTCTGACCGCGCAGGCGTTCTTGACATTTTTCAGCGACGGACCTCTTTGCAAGAACATGGCTGATGTGTGTCCGCGCTGCCGAGCCAGAGTGAATTGGGTGTTGACAACATTGCGCGCAAGTCTTTGTCGGAAGCAATCGCGCCGCTCAGGGACAGAAGCAGCACCGGAAGTTAGACCACTTTTGAGACAATTTCAGACAGCTTTTCCATTCTAGAATGTCAGCAGGGTTCTTTTGGCATCACATAGGCGCTTGACATGCTAGCTCCTCACCGGGGGAAAGGCAAAAGGAATCCGCCATGCTCTGCAATTGGCAGACGTGTGCGAAACACCCAATGGCTTGTGAAGAGTGGCCACGCAAGAGACCAAATCCGGTTGTACTGCAGGCGGTTTACATACTGTCAGAAGGAAACAGACGCCCGACGTGTCTTTTTCCGCCAAGGCACGAATGATGATTGAGCGAAAATCAAGCAAGCGTTTGGTGAAAATGTGGGTCACACAAGGTAGGGGGGGGGTTCTCGGACGGACAGGGGAAGGGGTTGGGGATAAGGTTTGGAAGATTCCGAAAAAGAGGTGCGAAGAGATCTGACCGCTTCCGACTCTCCCACGTCAAATGCGGTGATGGCCTGACATCTCAATCTCTATGATCCCATAAAATAGACCTTCAAGATTGAAAGGTTATTCAGAATTACATTTAGCGACTCACGCGTCGCAATCTAATGAATCTCAGTCAAGGTTCTTCGGAGTTGCCACAAACGGCGTGTACCTCCGAGCCCTGGGGGCCGAGGCGAAAATAAAGAACAAACAACAGGACGGTGTTGAAACAGATGGCAGACCTGGCCTAAACAAGTTTTGGTTTTCTTGGCTTTCTCCTCATCCCGCATAATCCTTGGGTTGGGACCATTCGCCACAGTGTCACAAGTCTTTGAGAACCCTTGGAAAGCCTTTGAACGGACCTATCAAGCAATGTGTTTGGTTGCCACTGGCGAAAAAAGGGGGCTTAGGGTGTCGGTGATACCTTTGGTATCTCCCTTTGAAGTGAGTTCTGGGTGCTCGAGTTCCACCAGTCAGTGAGGCGGACGACAAGATCGATGCCCTGGGCTTTGAAGACCGCAAGCAGTCGGGGCCCCAGGATGGATGCTCAGCCTACGGCTCGCTTACTGATTCAGAGCCGTTGCTGTGACTCCGAATCAGTGTTGGAAAGTGTAGTATCAGGTCTAGACAACATTTTAGATGCCCCAACATGTGGATTCTGCCGAATGCACTCTTTCCCCTTTTGGCGCTCATTTCGCACTTTCCGAGAATCAATCCACTGGTGGATTTGGCATCATAAGCAAAACCCTAGAACAGCGGGCGGTTGCCTTGTGGCCATGGGCCATGGTCATAACTTGTAATCTACTTCGTTGAACATCCAAGCAGATTGGATCCAGGTACCACTCTCTCCTTGATTCTGTCAAAAGACCAGTTTACTTGGTGGGAGGATGGCATTCTTGATGATAGCAATGGCAAGGATTCTGCGATTTTAAAGGGAACCATTACCATGTGGAAGTGTTGGTCTAGGGTTCCTGCCCCTATCCTTCTGCAGCTACTTTGTGTTCCAGAGTTCCTGGCGGAACTCCGGGAGCAGCGATAGCCTCCGTCCCTTTCTGCTTGGCTTGAGGATACTACTGCAGAGACACCGCCTCAAGCTTCCGCCTCAACTCGCCAAGTATTTTATCCAGGCATCCCCTTCACGTACGACGCAATCTATTGAAGACAGCATGTGCGCTTGTGGTTACAGTACATGTTGTTGACGCTGGAATGCATCATTTCTTTGGTTGAGGGCAGACCATCTTGCTCTCCTTTCGGCATGTTTCACACCATTGAGCCAAATTGCCCTTGCCCGTCAAACGCTTAGACACAAAACTGACCACGGCCTACAACGAGTTGTGACACATGGCTATGAATTGTGACAGGGGATTCCCTAGAACGTGGTTGGTGGCACAACTCCCACAAGGATCTTCATCAAACGATAAAATCATTTCCAACTAGGGTATCGCGAATGAACCAAGGGATCCCAAAGGAAGCCACAATGGATGGTTCACAGGCAGGACTGGGAGGACACTTTGTGTTCGTAGGCCAGGTTTGGGGTTGCAAACAGGGTCCCCGTTTGCAGCTGGCCTCTTGGGGAAATCACAGACTAGACTAGGTTGTTTAAGCAATCCGTGCTGAAGCATCTTGAAGCCCACCTTGGAACCTCTTTCGTAGTTCCTAAACGGGGGCAAAAGCTGAGGTAGATGGGCACACGGTGGAAAGTTCTGCATTGCTCGGTGTGTGTGGTTTGACCAGAGTTGTGGGAGTTACCTTGCTTTAACCATTTTAGGTGTCGGTCCCTGGGCGAAATCGGGCCATTCGAGGTGGGACTCCCAACAGGGCGAGTACATTTGGAAGCAGGTGCCCAGTTGGTATGCCGCGACTGTCGTGGCGGCGGAGGCGCGCTGGTTGATGGAGCCAGCCATTAAAAGGCAAGCCGCAAGCTGGTTGTTTGAACATGCACGGTAATCAGCCGTTTAAACGTGTTGAAGCAAGCGGTTCGCCTGATCCTGACCTCCACAATGTTAAAAAGTGAAGGAACTTTCAGGGAAGCCACGTCGAGCGGGCATGGTGATCCTAGTTTCAGTACTTGCGTCAGGCCTGTTCAAGTGTTTCATCGCGCCCTTTCAAGAAATGTGACACGCCATTTGCGCTACTTTGCTTGCGACCATGGCAGCGAGGGCCGCAAATTGCGGCCTTGAGTTTCAACTGGTCTGCTCAGACCACGAATTCGACAGTCGATTTCCCCTGCAGGCGGTTTTGAATATCACCCGTTTGGCCTGCTCTTCGTGTTTGCGGGGTGATATTCAGTCAGGCAACAAAGGGACTCCCGAAGGAAATTGAATTTGCACTGCGCCTGCGTTCAGCTTGGGGATGTTTTCTCGCCTTCCAAGGGATACCCACCGCAAATCCATGCATTAAAGGAGCTATCGCATCCCCCGTATGTAACGGGACAGGGAACTATGTGGGCTCTCAGAGTTATGAGGTCTCCCACTTTCTGGGATGCCCCTGAGAATCCCCTGCAGTCATAGGGCTGCCCTATGTTAGCACGTCTGTATCTCAATGTTGTTTCGGTTGGAAGACTACTTCTCCTGTTAGATGCTGAAAACAGCTGGGGGGAGGGAAAACTGGCATGTAAGGGGTGCCAGGGTGTCGCCAGGAGAACGTGGTTTTCCGTTTATCTCGTTTTGGTTTCCTTTGAAGCACCGACCAATGGGGATTTCAAGGAGCCTAGAAAGAGGAGGGCTATCACCGATTGAGCCGTTCCCTGAACTTCATAAGGCCTTAGGGGCTTACCCTCCCCAAGCCATGCAGAGCCGCTCCGGAGCCTTTGGCTGCCATGTTCAGCTGGACAGAGCGAGCATTGCAGGGCAAACGGCTGCTGGTGCAGTTCCACAACCGCGCCAAGCCCAAGGCCGCAAGCTGCCAATTGCCATTTGACCCCTTACAAGCCCCATGATATTCCCAGGTGCTTTTCTCATTGCCACATTCAGCTTTTCAACTTGTCGCACTTTTTTTTCTAGCTTCTCCTTTTCAACCAACAAGTCGGCTTGTTGGTTGTAGGGTCCTTGTTTTGGATACGGCTAGCTGCTCCTTTTCCACAAACAAGTCGGCCTGTTGGTTGTAGGGTCCTTGTTTTGCATACGGCTTCCTTTGACACCCTCCAACCCAAAGTGTCCTGCTTTCCCATGTCCGCTTGTAGGTCGCCTGCTTTGTCGCAAAAGAGACTCTCAGAGCACAAGGCGCCTCTACACAAATATTGCTCAGAGAACCACCAAAGTTTATCTTTTAAATAGGAAGGGATCAAACCACTAAGTCAACCAATCAAAGGTTCTTGTTTTGCCCTGTGGCCTCAAAAGGCCTGGGAAGAAGCAAAGGGCTGGAGCTTTCCCACATGGCTTTTGGTCGCGGCGATTTGTTCCGCAGCATTTGCTTGTAGCTTGCGGAGCTTTAGTTGACCCCCTTCTCGAACAGCATGGGGAAGGTCGCCACGGCAATTGCCGCCGCTTTCGCAGCACTCTGCCGAGCCAACGCCAAGTCGGCGCTGGTCATTGTGGATGTGCAGGACTAGGGTTACAGTTTTACGTTGTCTCCCAGTGGGCATGCGTCAAATTAGGTAAAACCCCTTAAAAATACACACTCACACACAAAAAGTGACTGTCCTTCAAACCAGCCTGAAAAGGGTGTCCAAAAACATTACACCCAAAAGGGTGCAAGCACCCGGGGGTCTTTACTGGAATGCATGAACCACCCCAGAGTTCAAGCCCTTTCGCGGGTAGCCAAACACCGGACAGATGTCCAGGACTGCTTTTTGCCAGGGGGCTCCCTGGCGGTGACGGGGGCTGACCGCATCATCCCGCACATCTTGAACATGCACTTGGGCCAAGAAGCCTCACGCATTTCTGATCCTGAGTTTGCGTTCATGTCTGCCGTGGTCAATAGACCGGCTTATGGCTTACTTGGGATTGCTTTGGATGGTCATGAACCTCTTGATAGTGAATTTAAAACACCGTTGCATGATATCCATGTTTTTCAATATTATTTATATGTTTTTAAATCAAATCTTCGTGGGAATGTCGGCTCGATGGCCACTCTGATCTTCTTGCCTGGAACACTGACTGGGCCCTCTCCGTGCATACATGCGCGCTCTGCTCTTATTCTTGCTGGCGTAGGCAAAGGTTGCAACTTGTCCAGCAGCATGCAAAATGCATTGCCAGAATTGCTGAACGGCTTGAGCGAGACTGTTTGTTGGCGCGAATTGTCGATTGCACTCATATTCTGGCTGCCTTGTAGTGTATTTTGGAGAAGCTGTGAGCTGACATTGCCGGAGGATCTTTTGCCTTCTTTGTTCCTGAGATAGTTTTCAATTTGATGTTGTTTCACTTCGCTGTGCCAAAGTGCACTCATCGCATTGACTCGACAGACCAGACGACAATGCACCACATAAGGAGTCCTCAACAGCCATTTGCCCTAGACGGTTGGTACACCTTTTGGGGGCGACGCGGGAGGCATCGAGCAGAGGAGTTTGATGAGTTTGCCTTGAAATAGAGGACCCTCCAAAGGGTGGTTTTCTGCTAAGCGCACGCACACACGCACAACATCGGCCCTTTCACTTGGCCTTCAAAGCTTGCCTTTGGCCAAGGGCCCAGAACAAGAGCTGCCTCTTTGACCTGGTGGTGCGCACGCAGGACTTCCACCCCTCCAACCACATCTCCTTTGGGTCTACCCATGGCCTGCCCGCCTTCTCCGACTTGCCCACCTCCGTTGGAGGTCGAGTGTGCTCTGAATGGGCAATGTCTCGGCCCCCCGTTCGGTGCAAACAGGACTCTTTCGCGGGTCCCTAATTCAGGCAAGGGAAATGCAAACATGTTTGGTTTCCGAACAGAACCACAGTGAAGATAATGGAGAAATCGCAAGCCTCAGGGTTCCGCATTGGCACCACCAGGCCTGGGCAAGGGTGAGCTGGCACTGACCTGCCTCAAGCCGACGACGGGGAGCACTGCAGACGCCTCCTGCTGCCCCACGTATCACCTGAACCCCAGCAGGTTGGGGAGTGAATCGAACCCCCAAAGAAAGAACGAGCGCTTCAAAAGTATTGAAAGTACTGAGCTCCAAGTGGAAACCGGAAAGACACCAACCATGTTTTGGGGTCACTATTTTCAGAAGCCTCCGGCCATATAGAATCAGTTGAGGCACCTCAACAGGAGCTGAACCCCAAGGTCGAACCAAAAACCCCTGAAAGCGGAAAGTAGGGTTTGGTTTTTGCTTCGCTGGCTGAGCCCTGGTGGGTGACAAGCTCAGCTTCCCACAAAATCCCGCCAGCTTCGACTGCACCACCCAGCTCTGCCCGGGAGATGGCGGCACCTGGAACTACTCGGTGAACATGAGCGCCATCGTGACGGGCAACACCGCCTGCACCGTGCGCCCCGGAAGCGCCAGTGGACTTGGGCCCCGAGCTTCCCTTGGCTCGAGAATCAGCTTGGCTTTTGGGAATGAACCGGAAGTGAAAGAAAACTGCAAGGGATGGTTAGGGGTCATTTGGTCATTCCCTGAGCACCAGCAAGTTAATGTAAGTCACCCAGCAAGGGAAAGTTATTGCATTTTCAGGAAATATGATAATGTCCCACTTAGAGGGATCATTTGAGCATGTCATTTTTGATGGACCCGGACTTGGCTGTGCTTTTCTTAATGTATACTCTTTCGACCAGAAAGAGCTTCACTTTTTGTGCTGGAGGTTAGATAGTTCTGGCCCTGTCCGCAACCAATTTTGGGACCAACTCTTGGAGCCAATGTTGTGTGCTTTTGGAGCCAATTCTGCACCATTTTGCACCTCTTAAGTCCCGGATTCCTTTGGGCGGGGCGATCGAGGTGTGCCCAGACCCCGGACAGCTGCTTCGCCACCACGCAGCGCATGTGGACAGACCACTGCGAGCAGACGGGGGACACCACCTTTCCCAGCGGACTTGATGCTTTGTCCAGAACCAACAAGGGTATGCTGCCAATGCTTGGTTTCTTTTTGGATCGGTTGAAATTTGAATAATAAATATGTGTGTGTGTGTCTCTCTGTGTGTGTGTGTGTTTGTGCGTGTCCGTGTGGGTTTGTGAAAGGTTAGTTAGTCTTCTGCAAGGCCGCTTTTCGAGTACCACAGAAGGTGGGACATGTCCACAGCCTTACTTGTGCAGGTTCCGTTTTGAAGGCCAACGCCATCCGTGTCTTAACCTCTTGGTTTTTCCCTTGACCATTTGAAGTCAATTCGCAAAGAACACACTTTTCCCGGGTCCTGGCATGGCAAGTGAGGATGCCATCACTGGAGCCACCCTCGTGCAGAAGGGGTCCAACAGGCTGGGGTAGTTGACAAATTCTTTCAACCAAGCCTCAGTTCCCTTTGAAAGGGAACCCCAAAACCTCGCCTTGTTGCAGGAATGTGATAATTGCCGCTCTTAAGCTGCAAGAGTTATTTTTCGTTGACAGGTTTGTGGATGCGTACAGCGCCTTCATGGACAACTCCCGGAATCTGCAGACCACGCTGGATGCTACTCTGCAGGCCTCTCCAAGGTTGATTTCGTCAGAGGGCCCGACATTTGATTCAGGTGGAAACCAAGAAAAAAACGGGGATCGAGGCCCTGTCTTTTTGGATTAATGCCCAACGTTTACCGAAGAAATCCCGAACATCCCGACACATACTTCGTAGCTTCCATGCGCTTCGCCCTCAGAATCTGGGGCCCATTCCCTTTGAAGCCCAGCCACAGGGAACTGCCCTCAATGGTCTGGGACCCTTGATTGGTGCCCTCCGAAAATCTGGGAAAGGGAACGGCAACTCACTGGTCTGGCCTCTTCTTGGCCTTCACCCGTGCTATGTCAAACAGAACATGCTCAGGTTCTGTTCATAGCCAAGCTGAAAGCTACTGTGCAATTTGACCGCCGGGGCACCCCTTTCAGGTGTCTTTCAAGGGCCCTGCCTGATGGCCTCACCCTCCAGTTTCTGGCCTTGATAGTTTTGAAACAACTATTCTAGTGGCGCACAGGACTTTTCTTGGCCCTTAGTGAGTTCCAGGGTTCAAACGTCAGTGCAACGCTGAGGAGACAAGGCAAGGCGTTTGTGAGCCAATCCACTCAGGAAATGAAGGGCGATGCCTCTTGCGTTGCAGGCCGAAGGCATCTCGAGAATCTTCGTCACGGGCATTGCCACCGACGTGTGCGTGTCCTACACGGTGAAGGATGCGCTGCTCAACACTACAGGCGAGGACCTGTACTCGGGTATCCAATTAAGGGAAAAATCAGGTTTTGGACTGAGTGTAGAAAATGCTGATGAGCTGCTGGTTCTTTGCTCCCCTTGCTATTGCTCTGAAACCACACATGGGTAGGTGTCAAGGTAGGGATTTTGATCCTCAGTCGCACGGAATCGCTTGGGCGAGTAGATCTGGGGGGGTGACCTCAGTCAAAGACAAAAGACCTTCTTCATAGAAATCAGTTCTCAACAAAGACGCAAGCCTCTCCAATTCAGAACCCCAACCCCTAGGGCCCCTTAAGACACATGTCTTTTGAGGGCCCAACCGCGGGTAAATTCTCAACGAAAGCGTGACAGATAGCACCTGAGAGGCGCCTACGACGTCATCGTGGTGGGGGACGCCACGGCCGGCCTCTTTCCCAACACGGAGGCCGCTGCCCTGGCAGAGTTCGCGCAGCTGGACGGGGTGACTGCCACCCGGCTTTGAGGTCTCAACTTAAAGCAGGGTTGAGCTAAACCTTGAATTCATATTCTTCATCCTCCGCAGTTTGGACCACCTCCTTTTGGTTCCTCGTTTAAGGGGTCAGGGGCTGGTTGTCAATTTGTTTGTCCAAGCCCAATGGTCGACAAATGTTGTGACCGTTAACGTCCACCAGTGGTTGGAAACCGCCTCCCCTGAATGCCCCTGAATGGGGCTGTTTGATGCATTCAAAGGTTTCATCACCAGACCCCTGGAATATAGCCCTTCATGACAAGCCAACAATATTGCGCGGGTAAATAAGCTCTAGGGTCAGTGGGGCAACTCTTTGAAGCTGTTATTGGTCGTAAGATGCATCGTGAGGGAGGCTGCATTTTCTTGGTTTTGTTCCGATGTCGTCTTGTTTTGCTCCACTCATTGCAGATTGCTGCTGGTGCTAGTGATGCTAGTGGTGCTGCTGCCGCTGTTCGTTGTCCTTGTCGTTTGTCGTTGTTCTCCTTCTTCTTGTTCACTTCTCGCCGCGTTTTTGCGGAGTTGATGTTCGTGTTGGTGTTGGTGGTGGTCTTTGTTTGCGTGGATGCGTTAAATCAGCCCGCTTCGAGAGTGCCATGGTCTGCATTTGGTTAGTTTTTCGAACTGTTTTGGTGGGTAGATCAGAAGCACTCAGCGAAGTACTGTCAGCAGATCGCACCACCAACCAAGCCTGTTGAAAATCATGATTCCTGCAGGCACAATCTAGGGCTAGAACTCCTGCCAGGAAATTGCTAACACTTGTCTTAAATAAGTCAATTGAGGGTGAAACAGGTGTCCTTTTGTTTGAGGGCGGGCGGGGGGCTTGGGGCAGGTTGCATACATACCTGCATGCATGTGAACTGGAGGCAACATAAAACAAGCACAGGAGTCTTTGCAACTCGTGGTTTGAGCTGAGAAAGTGACAAGAAGAGCACAGATACCGCAACCAAGCTTTGGCAGATATGCATGATATAATGCAGTTGTGTACTACACATGTGCTGACAAGTTGCGCGCGTGTTTAAGCTGCCTAACGTGTACTTTGCGTACTTCACTTGTAGTGGAAGATTGCGATTCTTAAGCTGGAATCTGACGGAATGTACGTCCTATGCTACTCTTGTATTATTTGCACTCACTCATACTCACTCATACCTTGCGATGTTCAAGCCGGAACTGCCAATGGATATCATTGGGTTGCACGGCTAGTCGGCAGGAACAATAACACTGAGTGGCGTTTGACTGGAAGACGATGACCACAAGAGCATTCTTTGGCATTTTGATTGGAATACGGTAAAAACAAACAAAGGTTAATTAACCATCCCCCACCTGCATTGCAGCCCCTGCCGTGCTGGTAGGATTGGGCTCTTCGTATTTGCCTTGTTGAAAATCCACGGTCGGTCAATGCGGCTCTTTGTTAGATGAGATTTACAACTCCCTCGAAAGCCAGGGAACTTGCCTGCAGAGCACAGAGGATGGTTGGGGTTGGGGCCACCCACGAAACTTGGGTTGGGGGCAATTCCTAAACACCTTTACTAATGTGGGGTTGAGTGGACCTCATCCGCGCCACATTGTGAATGTCCATTTGTCCCTGGGCAAAGCCCTGACCCCATCGTTTTTTTCAAGCTCCTTCTTGCTCCAGCCGTTGATATGCCCGAGGGCTCCCTTCAAAGCTGAGGCCTTCAACACAGACAGAAGGTGCTAGGTGCCCCTAGTCGGACCTCCCAAATGAGGTCCAGCATTTGGGTAGAACGTCATGCTTTTAGTGCCTTGGGCTCCCATCAATTTCACCGCAAGGTCATGAACACCACCGACGTCTTGGCTATGAGCTGCCCAACCACCACCACGATGGTCGACGCCAGCGGCACAGTGCGGCATATCTTTGGCCTCGCGGCCATTGCCATGGCATTGGGCTTAGGCTCTGCCAGCTGAACAGCCCGCTTGGGGCTTGACGTTTGTCAGGCAAATGCCCTCCCATTCTGGAACCTAGGAGAAAATCCCCAGTAGAGAAAGCAATGTCTTCCCAGAAATTTCCACGCTGGTTCCACGGAAATGTGGCAGGAGGGTGTGAGCATATTTCTCCTCTGCTTAAGGCAGTCAATCGCTTCAGTCAGCCGATCCACTGCTTAAGGCAGCTGATTCGCAAAATTGCCCACGAGCCATCCGGCCTGTGAGCTAATTTTATCCGCCACTTCTGGTTTTCGTGAGCGACAGACTGGCCCTACCGGCGTTCATGGCCTGTCCGCCACGGTCTCGGGGAGTCTTAGTTTCTTCCCCTCGCAGAAAAGCTCGTGGGGTGGGGTATATGGTGGCTTGGGTTGTAAGGTTTGTGCCTGCAAAAACGTCCCTGAGTGTCATGGCACAGGGTTCGATGCCTGTAAAAGATGACCAAAACTCAAGGGTAGAAGATTGGGAATGGATTTCCTTGCGTTTCCCTGCTCAGGTTTCTACACCCGAACGGCTTCCCCAAAGGGCCCTCTATAGAGGTCTTGCCGGATTTGTTGGGGCCAAACGGGTACTGGCATTCCTGAAACCAACACAATTGAAAGGGCTCAGCACGAGTCCCCCCTAAATCCCCAAATGAGTCTCTTCCCAAAACGCCGTCGCCCAGAAAGACGTTACAGGTGCCGGTTCCAGGTCTCGCTCGTTTCGGCGACAGGCAAGGCAGCTGGAGCCGTCCTCGCTGGTCGTTGCCGGGAAGGAGCCCAAGGTCATTGAGGCGCTCGGAGCGGGAGCAGTGCTTGGGAGCGGTCCAGCCGTCGAGCCCGCCTTTCTTTTGTGGGTTTGGGCTAGGAAAGGAGGCATCTGTTTGACTTAAGCAGGTCTGGTTGTTGCACAGGTGTGGTACAAAAACAACACCTCTGAGCCTCTACTGGGCTGAAACAGCTTAACACTGAATCAACCTCAGAAAGTGCCATTTGTTTTCCTTTCGGATCCCTGGTTGCAACTGGGGAGCGGAAAAGTATCCCACCGGGCAAATTAGAACGAGCTCACCGATCCAGTCAGACGTGCGAAAACCCAGTAGAAGTTCTACTCCCATAGAACCTGAAACCGGGATCCCAACAGGCACTTCCACAAGGATGTTCGAGCGGAATTGGATCCCCGAAAACCCTCTCAAATGGTGGGTTTGCTCTTGGTTCCCCCTTTATACTTATTTGTTGAGTTAGCAAGCTTCAACCATTGCCGATGTCTTCATCAATTTAGCCAGGGCCAGAAAGCTTTAACTTGTTCTGCCCAGTCACCTCAGCAGATCAGTGTGGTCCTTATGGGAGGGACATGGGGGGCTCACTCAATTTGTCAAAGTTCCCCCCCACAAACTGGTTTTCCATGCCCTTTGCGGGTATAGCATACATTGACTCTGGCTCATGTCCTCTATATTGAAACCAATCAGCTAGGCTGACATCCCCCAAACGCCCTGAAGCCGAACCAGGGTTCCAACCGTGTTTTTATCCTATAAACACCCCCGGTTTCACTTGTCCAAAAGGTGAGATTCAGAACCACCACAAGTGGAAACATGGGGAACGATGTGCATGCCTTTGGATGGGTTGAGAGTTTATCAAACACAATGCCACTGAACAGGCATTTGCCACTTCCCCATTTACCTCCAAAAGTGGCAGTAAGTTATCTAGCAAATTGTTTGAGACAAGAACACATTGATGAAGATGGGTCGCGTTGATTTTGTGATTTCTTCCATTTGTGCTTTGTTGCCTTGAGTTGGGGTCATGTTTTCATTGATTTGCCCGGGTTTGTAAGGAGTGGACCATGGCAAATTTGGGACATGTGGATGGAAGATACGTCGAGCTGGGGCACCTAAACCCCTGCCCTCTCGTCCTTGAAGCTCTGAGGGCATTGCTGCGACTTGGACAGAGGTCATTGCACCAGACCTCCAGAGAGTCCCTTCAACATCAACAAGCCCCTCGAACAATGCGGGGTTTCTCTTCAACATCAATCAACCCCACAAATGTTGGATGGGCTTCCCTTCAAAATCTGAGAAGGTGTTCTTTTGTCCACCTTACCGCTAAACGTTTGCGACCTGACTGTCAGGTTGGTAAGCACTACGAGTCACTGGACAGTGGCACGGCTGCAGTAAGTCACACCACTTGGTAGGTGGTTTATCCGAATGCTCCTGGGAGTTCATAAATCCGAACTGGTGCAGGAATTTGTCCATCCACAATATGATACGTTCGCTTCCACGGTACAATGAGTGAAACATTTACGAACCGTTTGCTTAAAACACCCCAAACCCCCATTTTGGTAGAGAACAACTCACCTCACAGTCTTTGCGCTTGAGATTTTGAGCGACCTTTTTGGGGGGAATCAAAATCAGACGGCAAAGCTTAGGGTGAAAGTCAACCTTCATGCTGTCCCCTGATTACCACCACATCCCCCCTCCCCCCGGCGCCTTTTTCATATTCCTGAATCAGCCGAGACCCCTTCAATAGAACGGAAGTTCACTGGACGGGGTCTTGGAAGTAATGTGGAGTTGATGACCTGGTCATTGGCTCATCAATTCAAGTGAATGAGGCGCGCCATCCCAGGAGTTTGATATGCCAGATTACTTTGACAGAAAACGCGAACCCCTCTCATTCTTTCCGCAGGGTCCAACTGGAGACAAGGGAGGGTGAAAAGGTAAGCCTCGCAACACTTCCTTGGCTTTTGCACGATCCGAGGCCGTCACAGCTGGCATCAGGCCAGGGCCATTAATTGCGGAGGGCTGCCACAAAGACTTGGAGGTGCCACTCTTTTCTGGGCAAATGAGAACGAGCTCACCTGGGGATTGGACGAGACTTGGGGATCCCTTATGCTCAATTTGTGATTTGCTGCATGTTGCTGAAGATGTCGGTACTGTTGAACCTGCTTTAATGTGACCCCCCCCTGAACAGTGCAACCAATCTTCTGACCTTCCTCAGGCAAAATCCTGCGGGTCTGGGTGGGACAGTACTTACTTTAGTATTGCCAATTCTACTTTAATTGCCAAGGCTGACTCTCAGATTCCAAGTACTTACTCTAGCACTGCTAAATTAAGAGGAGCAGGGCCTCTTGTGGGCAACCCCCTTTGTGCGAATGTTTGACCTTACTTTTGTGTAAAGAAGTTATCTTAAATTTGATGGTTTGGGAACCATTTCAACAAGGAATTCCTATTTTTTGCGGTTTTTTGCTTGCCAGACTTCTTTGGCTAGTTGTTTGTGCCGGCATTTCTTTTTGGGGATCATTTTTTGGGGAACAACTTTTCACAATAGAGGACCCCAAAAAATTCAGAAGATCCTGAATGAGGAAGAAACACTTGACACACTACAGGCTACTGCCACAGCTTACTGTCCGCCACTTGGTGTCCGCCACTTGGTTTCCTCCACATGAACCGAAAGCGACTCAGTGCAAGCTTTAATGTCGGCCGGTTCCCTCCCACACAAATCCCCACTTAGGCGTTAGCGATTCTTGAAGTGACTCTTGCCTGAGCCTGCCGAGAGCCATCCACCAAACGCAGTATTGGCTGAGACTCCGTACCTAGCGCTTGGCTTTTTCCCATAAATCCTTGCCCGACATAGCTCGCCTGTTGACTGTTTGCCTTTTTGTTTTTTTGCAATTTTCGCTTCTATCCAGCAACTCATTTTGCCATTGTTGCAGGGCTCGGATCTGTCTGGCCCCAATGAGTACTCCAAGTAAGTGGCCCTGCTTCATTCCGCCTGGTGGAACGAAGCTCATAGGGGCAGATGATGTTCAGTCACGTCTTACCGCTCCTATCAATCAACCTAGTATACTGCAAACAATGTTCTTTTCAAGGATGATTTCAGGTGGTTTAGATTGGCTTTGGCGGCTTTGGCTTCAACCCTTGCTTTTGTTCCAATCACCCACCTCCAAACCATGAAAAGGGTACCCAAAGGAACAGACGCCCAGAATATGTGACCCCGAAGGGGAACCACCCATTTGGACGCACACCGTCATGGTGTGTTGCAGGCCCATTGCCGTTTTTTGCAAGCTTTCCACGCGGAAAGCTCGGAAGGTGAGAATCACCAAAGAGTTCAACGATGCAGGCCAAGTGACGTGCCCTGTCTGCCGATGTTATGGGTTTTAAGCAATTCCACCACCTATGATGTAGCTGGGGTCTCTAAACCAAACTTAGTTTACATCATTTGGGGTTCACAAAAGTATGTTTCAAAATAAGACAATAACATTTTCGGTCCATTAAGCCAAGGTAGGTTCTCTATTGCAGTTAACACCTATTTCAGGTTTTGGAATTATGGTAATCAAAGGAAGTGCTCGTTTTGATGCAGGGTCGTGGCTAGGGTTGTGCAACAGTTGCGAAAACACCACCAGACCCGTTTCGGCCATCTTTAGCAGGGTGTTGGCCCAATTTTTGGCGTGGTGAATTGACTACGATCACGGGTGGTGTGCAACAACGGGTTCCCTTACTGTTGAATGTCGGACATATGATTTCCAACCGTTGTTGAATTGAATGTTGGACATATTTCTGCATCATTGCCTAAGGTACGAGGCTTATCTGCTGGACGAGAACAACACCTGGCCGGCGCAGGGCTCAAATGGAATCCAATTTCAGGATGCTCTTGTTTGGTTGGTTTCAAAGGGGATCATTTTGGAGCTCCGACTCCAATTTTGAGACAAATCTATGCCGTCTGCCGCATGAGGCTGAGGGCTCCATTTCGAGTCTTTCGCTGACGGCTGAAGCCATGGGAGGCTTTGGTCAAGATGTCCAGTTTCGAAATTTCCCATGCTGGACCTCCAGTGGTGCCCTTTGCCATGTGTGTTTCGGCGCGTCCCCTTGCCTGTTCTCCCGGGTCAGAGACATTTGCGGCCTCCTTGACAACCATCCCTAGATGGCTAACCACCCTGGTCGCTGTGCCCTAGGCCCTCTTTTCTAAGGATGGACTGGACGGTACAAGGATTTGTGTGGGAATCCGCGGATGCGTCACTCAGTGTCTGAAATATATACTTGCTGGCCCCTCCAATTGTGGCAGTTTCATTGGAGACCACCAGTAAAGCGCAACTGTTCAAGGTGAAACCTGTGACCACAGTCATTCTTGGTGATGTGATCCTTACCGCAACATCATTTCATAACACCGAACAAAATCACATAATCCACCATGCGCTTTTCTGACACCACTACTGCTATAGGGTTGTCTGAAACAACGACATATGTAGCAATAGGATTTGGTGATTTGCACGATAGCAAGATTGACAAGTGCTGCTCTTACATCAGAAGACGCCAGCTCGAAGTTCACCCAGATCGGGGGCTGGGATGGCTGGAAACTCAAAGGACATCGTCCATTGTGACGGTCTCCTCATTTAGAGGCAGCCAGCCAGGATCTGTCAATGGCGGTCTTCTAGGCATGATCAAAGAAAGGAGCACTGTTTAAAAGTGGGGCCCGCCTTGTTTTCTCCTTTTGTAACCGCTGTAAAAGGAAGGATCAAGGGCATCAGGGGTCCAAAAAATCCTCGCGTGGATCAGGGTTGCTCTGAGGCTTTCAACGACGACCAAAAATCAAGGGTAGACAATGGGTCCGCTTTCCTTTTGTTCCCAGCACCAGGCACAAGGCACACACATCCGACCCCGCCCCACCCTGCCCCACCCCACCCCACCCCAACTGACCCGCCCACAAGGTCTTTGGAGAAACCCTCTGCATAGCCAGCCGTCGCGCAAAACTCGAGGTGGTGCAGCCCGAGAATATCCGGGAGCTGTCGACCCTCACAGAGGCAGCGGATTTCGGAATTGTTTTCCAGGGTTGCCGGGTCCCAACATATGGCATGTTTTATGCTGGGGGAACTGCTTGCTGGCTTGTTGGTGGTTGAAGGGAAATCAGGAAAACAACACGTAGATATCAGAATCTAGCATCCAGGATTTATGAGCGTTGTGTCATTGGAGGGAGGATTCCAGTTTTGGATGGCCCTGTTGTGGATGGACAAAGTTCACTTCGCACCAGTTGGTACATGGTTTCCCTCTGTATTCCTTGGGTTTCCATCCATTCCAACTGGGGCGAACTGAATTTTGTCCATCTAGAGCATGGATTCCCTTGAACGTCCGTATTTGCGCAGCTGTCAAGAATAAAAGAGCGCTTTGAAAGCAGCCCATAACCTGGTTTGGCTACACATCCCCAAGTTTCGGGAGAAAGGCTCAAACTGAATCTGCCTAAGTTAGGGTTGCTCTGAGCCTTCAACAGATGACCAACAGCTGAGGTACGGAAATCAACCACTCCTGGGTTGGAGCCATGGCTTTTGGGAAACTTGGTTTTGTGGCCACTTTCTGTGAATCCCCTCCAAAGTGATAGCGTACTTCATGGAATTCGCACACGTTGGTATCATGGAAAGAGCCCTGCATGATCCCAGAGTGAGTGGCACCGACGTTTGCTTCTGCAACTCGGATATTCCTTCTTTGCATTCGACAGCGACGGCGCTGTGGTTTGTTATGTTGGGGTGTGTGCAACTACTGAAGCGATAAAACAAGTGGAGCAAAAAGCAAGACCTGGGTAGTTGGAGGCTAGACTATGATGCAGCGACTATACTGGTTACACAATCGCTAGCCCGTCACCTGTCGGGGTCGACTTTGATCTCGCAAGCTCGCAGAGAACACCTGAAGCTGTTGCTTGCAACCTGCATCCAATCCAATGGCACCATATCCTGTTTCTATTGGATGGTTTCTCTCGAACATCAATCAGACAAACAGGGTGTCTCTTTCTCCTTGGACACTGGAGGTCTGTTTGGGTCGTTGTCCCTTTCTAGATAGTTTTGAATCACCGCGTTGGCCTTTTTGAAAGAGTTCCCTTGTCAGCGAGTTTCCTTTAGGTGATGTTTGAAGTTTGGAAATCTAGTTGGACCCCTGCCTGGGTTCTTTACCGGTGGAATCGGCAAGCTTTACACTTTGGTTGGCCCAAGTTCCGGACCAAACGGTTTAGTCGCTTTTTCCGGCCAGTGGTTTCCCCATTGGAGTGCCAAAGGGAGTGCTAAACGAGTGCAACCATTGGTGGGCTCCACTGACAAAGCATCCGTAAAGATCTAAGATGTTTCGCAGACTGTCAGTTTCGTTGTCCCTTACTCACTATACATTTGTTGCAAAATGTATGGCTGCCCATCGGAGCTGTTGGCACCTCTCCCATTCTTTCCAGTACCGCCTTTTCTTCCGAGGAGGCGACACGGGCATTGACAAAGGTCTTCGAGCGCTACGCGTCGGGGGATGTCATACAGAGATCGGGCCCCAGCAGTCGATTGATTGGTCGAGCGATTGCCTGGGACCTGTTGCACCCTCTCCCAAGGTTTATCCGTTCATTTCAGAGTTTTAGCGCTGCTCATCTGACGTTGCCAAACACTGCCAGGGTCAAATGTGTCAAATGAAGATCCGAGACAGGGCTAAAGCACGGTGCCAGAGGCGGATGTTAAGCACTCGAGTAGCCTGAAGCATCAGCTGGGATGGAAATCCGGGCTTCGGGATAACTCCCTTCTCCAGTTTCTGAACTTGAGGCTTTCTGGGAAGATCAAGTGAGTTCTTCCGACCACTCGACTTAAGAAGTGAGGTACATTTCATGTGCGCTCTTGGCAATCGGCTTTTACACTGGGTTTAAGCGCGGATTCAGGAGATACAGCGGGGGCCCTCTACCCCAGTGAGGTTCTGAGTCTAAGGTACAATCGGTTGTTAGAACCCCTCAGGCTTTCCATGCAGCTTCCATTTGGCAGGGCCCAGGACTGGGCCACCAAAATCTAAGCGCTACCTTCAAACCACACCCAAGAGAAACATGGAATATGCAGCCAGTAATAGGCACTATGTAAAGAGCATTATGCTCTAGTTTTCCTTGGCGGTCGTGATTCGGGGGTTGCCTCTTGGAAATATCAAATCACATTAGCCGGCCGATTTAGAGGATCCCCGCTGGTAAATCAGGTAGGTGACATTGTTTGGATGTGTCGTTTGGGGAACTCTGCCCAACCCCCCACTAACGGACCCAGTTCAACAACAGGTCTTTCGAAGGCTTGGGTCAGACAGAGTCAAGCTAAAACACCTCGACTTTTGTCTAAATGAAGGTGCTTCTCAAGGGAGGGGGGCTCCATGTGTGCCTGTCCTTTGGGGTTCCCTTTTGAAACCAGCGTTGAAAGATGCTCCTCTTGCTGAGAGCCATCTTCCGGGCGATCGAACCGCTCTCTGGGATCAAACCTCCGGATTTCTTTCGCTTCTTTCAGTCAGTATTTTCCACCAACCCGCAACGAGGAATGCATCCAAAGGAACGACAATTCCCGGAGGTCCGATCTTCAAAAAGTCAAAGATCCTCTTTCAAGTCTGCGAAAACGAAGCGATTTGCAAATCTCTGCGACAGTCCCCATCACCACCGGGAAGCGCCCCACTCTCTGCTCTCCCGCTCCTCCATAATTTTGAGCGCCGAGTAATCAACCCGGTCTAAAATGGGACTCGACCGGGGGGTTGTCAAGCCCGGGTCGACATGAAATGATGGAAAAATCAAATGAGTCTGTCTTTTGGGAGACCCCCCGAAAGCAATCGGGTGGGTTTCCTCTTGGTTTCCCAAACATCCCGAAAAGGGCACCAACTCAAACAACAAACAACCCCAAAGGGATGGTACGTGGGCCTTGGTGATTTCACTTGAGTGCTTTGAAAACCCAATAGGGTGGCAGGTTTGGGTTTTCGAAGCACCGGCTTAGGTGGTGGCGTGCGGGGGCTTTTGTCCTGCGCCAGCAATGAGTTTGTCCCGGAGGACAGGGATCCGATGAATCCGGTGGATGGTTGTTTCCTTTGGGGGTTTTCCTCGAAATCAGCCAGCCAAAAGAGGGTTTCAGTGAATAGCTTGTTCTCAGTTTCATATTTTTTTCTTTCGGATGGGTGTTTCTTTGGTAGTCTGCCAACACAAAGAAGATGTCCTTTTTCCATCGTGGAAATCCACTGGAGTAGGGAAGGATGGGGTGGGTTTGCGCCTCTCTTGAGGAATCAAGTCAGACCTCACAAGAAGATGCTACAGTGCCAACCATGGGTCATTTAGGGATGACCCGTCATGTTGGCAGACAAGGGTACTGACGTTCCTTTCGACCCCTTGCTTCTGCACTACTCTCAGCTTGTCTGCTGGTACCTGTCTTCCTTTTTTTGGGTGGGCCAACCAACGAGAAAAAGGTGCCCGTGCCCACCGGTCAACCATGGCTCACAAATTGCCCTGACATTTCGAGCCGCTCAGGTTTCATTTGTGGCTGACTGACGGGGTCTGATTTCAAGCATCCTTGCCCTTCCTGCGGGTGGAGGGAATCAACATTACATCTTGGCCAGATAAACATACTGAACCGCTTCAATGTCTTGGTTGTTGCTCTGATGCGCCCCGTCGTCTAATGAGACTCTCAGACAGATGTACCCACCACCACCCCACCCCACTCCAGCCACATCCCACCTGAGCCAACGTTTGGAGCCTTAATAAGTTGCAGCCAATTTCCGTCGCCGTGTATGCTCCAAAGCATTCCGCTTGACGCCCGGCTGGAAGCTTATTCATGGAAAAACCCGCGGCTCGGCGAAGATGGGATGTCGAGAATCCAGGGCCATTCCAGGTCCTCTAAACGCCCTGCATTGACATGGGGAACAAGAGGAGACACCCTTCAAGTTACTGCAACGTGCCAGGGTTTGTGGTTGGATGTGGTTCGCAGTTTTTTCATTTGCTGACAAATACAGCCAATGTGAATTCATATGGCTCGGAAAGGGTAAACTGATTTTTCAAAAGGATAATGATTATGATTCTTCAGTATGCCCCACGGCCATAGGTCGGACAGAAGTGCTTGGTGATAGTGGCCTGAGTGCAGGGCTAAATGTGCAGAACTCCATTTGTTTGTTGCAATTGTAGAGCCAGCCGGCCATTTGTAGACCCTCCTTCAAAAGGAAAAATCAAACATTGGCAATTAGGACTGCATGATGTGTTCATTCCGCGGGAACGGTCCACACGACGAGCAACCGGTGATTCACATGTCGGTTTGGTTTTCGTTTTGTAAGGTCCAGTTGAACATTTGGAGTTTGTGTTTTCTTCCCCTCTAATTTTGTTTGGCTGGTTCCTTTCTTGTTTTTGTTTCAGGGTAGCGGTGCCCTTTGTCCCACGGCCACTGGAGTCACTGGAGGTCTGGCAACGAAAATTGCACCCAACAAAGAAGGCCTCTTTTTGTTGCAAGAGGGCACATACGAATGACTTAGCACATTGTCTAACCTTGCCTGCAACATGTTTGCGGAAATGTTGTAGATTCATAGCCCTGTCCCGGTCCGTATCACAGAAAGGCTGCCCCCTTGGAGCAAACATGAAAGTGCACTGCCAACTCCTTTGCAAATGGTGCTTTGCTTTTGGGAAGGGTGAACCTGTTCAACAGAGCATGGAAGGAAGCTGTTGCTGGTTAAATCTCCTGAGTTGGCCTTACAATTAGCTCAAAGGACCTTAAAAAGAATGTCAGCCACTTACTAACTTCGGCCTGTACACCAAATCATGTGCATGGCGGTTCCCAGCCATAGCTTTTGATTTCAGATGTTCGGAGTTTCAAGGGATTTCTGACACATCCCACGAAGAGTTTGACTTTGGGCACACGATCAACGAACCTCTGAGAGACCATATTGACACGGCCCCCCCCCCCCCCATTTTTCCAATGCCTGGTGCCAGGCTTAGCAACCACTCCCGGCGATGGCAAAGTTCATCCTTTCTCTCTTGATCCTCCCGCTTGCGGCTCAGGATGCCAAGGACTGAATTTGGCGAACAAGGTCTTTGAAAGCCCCAGTTCTCCAGTGGCCCCTTACTTTCCCTTCGTGTTGGGTGGGCTTCAATAGGGGGTGGGACTCTTTGAGATGTAGTTCACTTGTGTCTTGATAAGGATAGTGATGGCTATATATCCCAAACATGGGGCCCGATTTGTTTTGGTGTCCATTTAAGCGGTCTTGCGATGTCTTGGGAACAAGCCTGTGGAAAGGAGGCTGAGGAAGCAAGCCATGAGGGGTCTCTTGTCATTACGCATACGGTTAGACGGTTAGACAAAAGCATCCCCTACGGCGCCTTCCGCGACAGGACTTTTTGAAGCCCGCTGGAACCGCCGCTGCTCCCGCAGCCCCCGCTCTCGCGGCTCCCGCAGCCCCCGCTCTCGCGGCTCCTGCGACCCAGGCGCAGCAAGCTGCGGTGCTCCCCGTGGCTTCCCCGCAAGCGCTGGGCCAGTCTGGCGCTATCCCAGTGACACCCCTGGAGGTGCAGGCGGTCCTTGGGGGTTCACCATTCAAACAGAATGTTTATGTCGAGCTCACTTGGGCCACTTGGGGGTAAAACGAGCTTGCCATGATGATTGGCATCCCTTTTTTCAGGCTTGGTGATTGTAGTAACTGTTGCAGACACATTGGGAATGCGTTTGTTCCAACTGTTTTATAAACTTACGGCCATCCCATGTATATAAAGGACCTTTTGATCAACCTCGCCATATATGTTTCTCTCTCTCTCTCTATATATATGTATACATTGAACATACATATATATATATATATATATATATACATACATACACATATGTGCATACATACATGCATACATACATTCATTCATGCATACATACATACATACATACATACATACATACAGATTGGTCCATCGTCGCACGGCATGAGCTAGCGTCACTCACTCTTTTGCACACGCTGGTCTCGATCCATTTTACTCGTAGCACTGTAAGCGCTACACATTAGTTTTTTGACGTTCAATCGCGACATCGGCACGTTGGCTGGCATTGAATGACTGAACCGCAGGGTGACCCCTGTACCCTAAGCCTTCGCCTTTGGAGTGTCGTGCTGGTTCTTCCCGAGAAAGGAAAACCGCACGGGATAGTCTTCTGGAGCTTATTGACTCATACCTCATTCCCTATCGAAGCAGCCAGTTGTGTTTTCGCGGCGAATTCGGGCAGTGAAGAATTAGTTTTCACAGTGTTCACCTGTTCCCTTTTAATTAGACCAGTCCCATAACAAGTCGGCACACTCAACACACACACACACACGCACACACGCACAGAAACACACCCAGCTGTCGCTTGCCCTGGGCAGGCGGTGGGCGGATGGCACCCCTGGCACCCAGCAGTGCTTTGGCCTCAGCTCAGCGCCTTAGAGAAGCTCCTGGCAGGCCTCACCTTCGCCTCCATGCGTCTCGGATTCCGGAAGGGTCGAGCTGAATGCGGCTGGCTTGGCCAACATGCTAAAGATCCAGGGAGAGCCATGACATGTCAAACCATGTTTGTTAAAACGTCCGCTTTGGTATGGGGTTGGGCAACATGTTGATTCGAGCGAAACCAACAGGCTGATGAAAGGGAACCCAAAGCAAAACATGTTTTTTTTTGTTTATTGGGAAACCAAGTGGAGGCTGGTTTAAACATGCTGAAACAATGGGTCGGCCCAACCCTGGTCTGGGTTGGCGGCGACATGAGATCCTGGTGGGTTTACTTCGAGAAACACAGAAGCTCACAGACCCTTGTGTACTTCCGTGTTTGTTGGTTGCAGGGTATTCAACCTTTTACCCTTTTGCCCCTTTGCATTTCCTTCATGCTCTCCTTTTATCCAGCGACACGTGCTCGCTTGTTGCAGGGGGTTCTATCGTTTGGCCAAGCCAAGAGGGTTGCACGTCTACTTAGGAAAGAGGATGGAAGCTCGCCTAAGCCTCGCGCCAGAATGTTCAAGAGGGGCTGTTTCCTTGTCCCGTGAAAATTGGTTACGTTTTCTGTTCATAGCGTCTTGAGCTAACATCGCTAACCTGCCCTCATCGCATCCAACAAAGTCCACCGCAAAGCATTCAATCAAGCAAATGGCTGAGTCGGCGCATGGCTTCCACGGAATGTCTTCATGGGATCCCAACCCCCTTCCCACCCCCGGAAACATCCCATGACATCCCCAGCTGAACAAAGGAATTGGGGGAGGGCGGGGCGACCCCCGGAATTCCATTTTCCCAGTTGCAGACCAGAATGAAATACACCGCGCTACATCCTTGCCCTCCAGGTACGTTAGTCCCTGAGCGGTAGGGACTCCAAGAGAATGCGGCAAAAGCAGGGACCACTCTCTTGAATTTGTGCAAGGCCGACAGCACATGGTGTATTCGATTGCTATGTACATCCATGATTTACCCCTCGCTTTGCAGCTTGGTAGCCGAATGGGAGAGAGTACGTGTATCATATGTATAAGATGTGTATATATATATATATGTATGTATGTATACATAGAGGAACACACAAGCGCATGCAGCACATACAGTACATACAGTACATACTGGGTCCTTGTTGTTACACGCCCCGCAAGACATGAACTCGTGCCGCAAGCGGTGTGCCAGTGGGGAAAGCTAGTAAGAATCATGATCATGCTGTCATTTATAGATGTGTGGCATGAGGCCACTTTGAAGCAAATCGCATGGGCACACTCGCTTCAAATAGATGTTGCTGACGACGCACGTGCTACCCCAGCCCCCGCCACGCACAAAGCCAAGGGTCTGGTGTGCCATGGGGGATCGGAAGGGGCGCTGTTGAATGTTGAGGCCCACTCCCGTCGCAAAACACAATGGCGCACTGCCTCTGGCCAAGATACTGAGAAGGTTAAGCCGGCTAACACATGGGAGTTTGATTTCTTGTGTCGTTCAGTGGGGTGAGATGTGGTTTCGTGGGGTGTGAAACCGCTGCGGGTCGTACAGCACATGCATACATGCAGTACGCGCAGTACGCACTGTACAGTGCACTAGGT